AAGCAGGCCAAAGAGTTTCTGGAGTACGTGTACGAGGAGCCCCTGATCGACATCCAGCAGGAGAACCCCATGCTGTACCACCACGCCGAGCCGCTGGCCGCCGTGGTGCGGCTGCGGCAGCGGCTGAAATCGCTCCGAGCCTATTTATTCAGCTGCCGGGCAGCCGTGGCCGAGGATCTGCGCCGCAGGTAAGAGTCATAAAAGTCTGGCGGCTCCGGTTTGTTTTTCTTTCCCGCCCTGGGAGGGTGGTTAGATGATCTCCAAGGGCCTTTCCAACACTGATCGTCTCTAATTCTCCGACTCTCCCTCTGCGTCTCCACCACTGGCCTCCGTCTGGGCTCATCTTTGACTATTTCCTCCAAAGTCTTCTATTTGGTCGAACCAAGCAAAATGAAAATAACGTCTCAGTGTATCTGAAGGCTTTTAACTGTCAATTGAGTTCCCAGGAAGGTGAAGATTTTTCTTACCAATGTGTTAATTTAAGATAATAATCATGAGAGTGTCTTCACTGGTCACTTACGCAGTGTTTTACACTTTTCCCAATTTCAATTCCTGTTTATCATCAGGAAAAATAAGCATAACTAAAATGCATATTTCGTAACTAAAAAACATTTTCAGTGGGAAATAAGTAGGTGGTCATTCAAATCTTACCTTCCATACAGAAACAAACACCCAAACTTGGTAAGCGATGCAGGAAGTAGAGCTGAAATTAAAATAGGCTCAGGATTATGCCTTTTCATCTTACAGTTGGTGCAGGCTGCTTTCTCAGAGCTTAGTTAGCTCATAGTTCACAGAATATACAAGCCCAAACCAGACTCAGATCTTCAAAATAAAATTAAAGTTAAAATGTGCCTGCTCTCATAAAATGCCTTCTTTTCCAGTTAGATTTTATGGGCATTTAAAGTCTCACCATTGGCATATATGAACTAGCTTATACTTGAAATGATTGTTGATGGCGTTCATAAGTCTCTAAAAATACCTTTTGAATTTTTTGTTTTAATAGAAATGACCAACAGCATACATTAGTCATGTTAAATGTTTTTGGAGGTAAGCCTACCTGCATAAGAACCTTTGGAAAGTATTAAAGTATGGAGTTTGCAATTTGAGATCCAATTAGATCCAACGACACTGACATAACCCCAGGCATCTGAAGAAGACATTTTTAAAAGAACCAAATGTAGATAGTGAGGGATACATAATATCTAGACAGGCTCTCATAAAATAATAATGAAAAGGCAGCTGCCATAAAGTAAAATACTTCTCAGTGGTAGTCATTCTATTACCTAGTTGTTTTTCAGAAAGCGATCAGGATTTATTCTTATGAAGTCTTGGCAGATCTTAATTTTAAAAGATCAGGCTCTTCCTTGGAAGGCAATCGAAGTATATGTCTCAAACTAATTTACCAACTAAACCAGATACAAGACTTTTGATGTTCAAAGTATGTTTGTTCTATTATTTTCAGTACCTTTTGGCTTTGCTCAGAGCTTGTTTTTCTTGTGCCTATATTTTTAGATGATATTAAAATGTACACATGGGAATCATGTTAGATATCTTTGTGGCATAATGTTTTGCTTTGGTTAAAATATGCCAAATCAGGGCACACATTTAGAAATTAAATAGGAGGTCTTCTCCTCATCTGGATGACTAAGAATCCCTACTCTATTCTAGCAGTCTGGTGGTTTACCACCATGTACTGCGCCTTATGGCCAGACCACCAGGAAAAAAAATGGAAGTTCTTGAAAGAAGGCATTCCCAAAGCTATGAGAATGAAGATAGCACTCTTTTTTTTACTTTCCCTTCATTTTTCTTTTCTGAACTTGTTCACAACCATTATGTAATGCAATGCTTGGCACAAGGTAGTGTTTAATAAGTATTGAATGGATAGGTGGAGGGAGATAGGGAAGGAGGGTGGGATGGATGTCATTAGGTGTCACTTTAGACCACTGAGCAACAGCTAGCAGCCCAATTTGAGGGAAGGCGTAGTCTTCAAATTCTTTTTCTTACTTCCCTGTCATTTAGCATAGTGTCTGATCCATTTAAAACCCTCAAAAATGGTGGTTGATTGAATAAACGAATGAAAGAGCAATCAAATCAGTCAAAAAAATTTAGTTGATTCTGTTTCTGAGATAGCCTTCAAATCTTTCCTTTTTGCTTCCAATGCGCCACCCTCGTCGAGAATCTCAAGACTATTGCAATAGCCTTCTAACTAGTCTATCTAACATTAGTTTCTTCCCTCTCCAATCCAACTTTTCTATTAGATAAATTATTAGAGTACAAGTATGGAATTCAAGATCTGCCCAAATCTAGCCCAGTATATTATTCTACTCTCTCAAATATCCTGCACTTCAAGCAAAATTATTCCCTCAATGTATTCTGTTGCAGGAATTAAATGTTTGTATAACTGAAGTGTTTAAAATAGTGTGTGTACATAGTAAGCACTCAATAAATGCTATTATTGTTATTAATACTTTCTTATCCTAGACTATTCTTATATCTGGCTTTAAAATTTTTAGATAGAATGTTCCACTTAAAAGTCAACCCCTGGCCGGGCGCGGTGGCTCGCGCCTGTAATCCTAGCACTCTGGGAGGCCGAGGCGGGCGGATTGTTTGAGCTCAGTAGTTCGAAACCAGCCTGAGCAAGAGCGAGACCCCGTCTCTACTAAAA